GTTGGTTTGTCAAGTGAGATGGTTGAAAATTTTGGAGATGATGGCCGAGTACAGTGTTTACGGATAATTTTTTAGATGGTAAAGGAATGAAGGTGGGTGCAAACTTCGTGGTCATTCATTAGTAGGTGAAAATGATAAGAGTGGCGAATGTGATGGTAATAAAAGTGATTGTTTTGAGATAAAATATGACAAAACAGGGAATAAAAGTGATAAGCGAGGTAGGAAGTGATTAATAAAAATTTTAATTTAATAAAAAATAAGAAGAAATTAATATTAATAAAATATTAGTTGATTCTATGTAGTCAAATATTCATAAAACAAGTCATATCATCACATAATTATACAGATGGCCGTGGAATGAATAAAAATTCAATATTCAAAGTTGAATGATCAAATAAAAATATTTGAAGTTGATGATCGAAATTAGAATATGATTAAATTTGAGTGGTGAAAAGCATAATTTACCCTTAATTAAAATACTTAAGGTTTAAGGGTGCTGTCAACGCCGGCATCCTGCCACGTGAGTGTTACAACGGCTAGTTTTTTGCAAATAGCGAAAGCCAACCATCATATATAGATGACATTTCATGAGAATTTGTTTCTTAAGAATTTTCTCTAAAAAGATAGTATTCGCACGGATGTGTCGAAGACACGTATTATCACGACACGACACGACATGACATGAGACAGACGGCGGCGGCGCGCGAGAGTCCTCCTTGTTCTCTATCACTCAACAAGGAAAGGGAAAGCCAAGCCTTAAATATCATTCTCAATAGTGTTTCCAATACTATGTGGGATTGAGCATTACCAACACTTGTTTCCAATACAATGTGATTATTAGGAAACAATTAACAATCATGCACCTTAAAACAACTGAATCAGCAACCAATTACATTAGTATTATACGATTAAATATGTCATAATTAAAAGTCAATCTATAATCAATCGCGATTATTGCAATTTTAAGCAAAACATTCAAAAATAATATCACTATTTAAGGCTCAATTCCACATAGTATTGGGAACAAGTGTTGGTAATGCTCAATCCCACATAGTATTGCAAACACTATTGGGAATGGTATTTAAGGCTTGGCTTTCCCACTTCCTTATTGAGTGATAGAGAACAAGGGGATTCTCGGGCGGCGTCGCCGCCGTCCGTCTCGGGTCGTGGTAATACGTGTCTTCGACACGTCCGCGCGAATACTATCTTTTTAGAGAAAATTCTTAAGAAACAAATGTAATACCGTCGTTGCGATTTTGGACTATCGCAACGAACTTGGAATAAATCGCAACGCGAACTTGGACTATCGCAACGAATTTGGAATAAATCGCAAAAAACTTGGAATAAATCGCAACGCGAACTTGGACTATCGCAACGAACTTGGAATAAATCGCAACGCAAACTTGAACTATCGCAACGAATTTGGAATAAATCGCAACGCGAACTTCGACTATCGCAACGAACTTGGAATAAATCGCAACGCGAACTTGGACTATCGCAACGAATTTGGAATAAATCGCAATGCGAACTTCGACTATTGCAACGAACTTGGAATAAATCGCAACGCGAACTTGGACTATCGCAATGCGAATATGTAAATCGCAATTGCGATAGTCGAAGTTCGCGTTGCGAATCTGGAAACTGATTTGCGATACCGGAGATCGCTTTGCGAATTATCGATCGCATTGCGATTTAGTTGGTCATTTTGGCAAATCAAAAAAAAATTAATTAAAATCGTATATTATAAGACATTTTTGGTCACTGAGGTTATTTTCTCTTTAAATAATGTTGAAACAAATTTATAGGCTGCTATTTTCTGCAGTTTGGTCATTCGCTGGGCTTGGATTTATTGAGAGAACCCAACAGAAACAGTAATGAAAATTATGAAACGATTAACCAAATTTTGTTACGATGCATAGGGACAAAATAAACGTGAACCAAAAGATTTATGGCAGGAAACTGTAGTTGCTGCTTCTGCTTGGAGACCCATGTGCTGATCAACGTAACTGGGAACCTGATGGTATCTCTCTTTGACTTCTATATGTTTACTTCACAGTGTAAATTTAGACTAGCTCTCAGGCTCAGCTCTCACATTACATTTTTTTGTTATTTGGTAGAGGGTAAGAATGGATACATTATGATCACTGCAGATGCTGGAATAAATCAGCAGCGCGTAGCTGTAAGTGGTTCCAATGACAGAAATTCTAGCATGTGTTCCCAGCTCTTGAATCTTCTTCTTTCACGTTTCCTCTCCTTTTGAGTTTAGTAGATGTAGCTTTTGATGGCTAAATGTTACTGTTGGTCTGCAATGCTGTAATTGTTGCTTACTTACTTAATGTAACTCCTGTTGTTCCCAAATTTATGTACAGTAGTGTCTGGAAAGATGTAAGTGATGCAGCTTTTCGCTCCTTTCTTTTCTTTTGCTCTTAATTTTCATGTTTCTTCCCCTTGGAAAATGGATGTTTTATTGCATTAAAACATTTCTTTTCGGGGGAAAAATTCAAGTTTATTGTTGTTTGAACTTTTGCGCATCAGTGCGCCTTGCACCTTTTAAAACCAAGTCCAATAGTGAAAGAAGTTCCTGACGAGCTAATGTCTCTAGATCTGGAGGTATCTGGTAGTGTTGTTTCTTCTTCAAAACCAAGTTCTGAATGGTTTTTGCTTGCAGCTTTTGTCTTAGGGTGTTTTATCTTATAGTAATTGTTCATTTCATCATTTGAATTTCCAGGTGACAGACGTAGATGTCATGAAGGAATCTAAACCAAGCTTCTATCTGAAAAACATTCGCCCTATCCTACTCCAGAAAAAAGTCGTCCATTTTGTTGGATTTGGGAATCGTTTGGCATTTGACCCAATACCATTTCAGTTGCAAGTAATTTGACCTTAATATATGAGGCCATAGCATGTTCCTTTTAGTTCCTAGCTTTATTCATTGGATGAATGTTATAATCGGTTCTTGTTAATAAAATTTATGGCTATGCCTTTTCTTTCCTACTTTGCTTTTCCTAATTGGGGAGCTTCATCTAGAGACGTAGTTTTCATGCTCTTAAATTTGTCCCGAAGATGGAAGAAACTGCTGCTTTACTCCTTGAAAGCTTGCACAAGCATTCAGCTCAGCCAGCACTATTAGATCATTAATATTGTTGGCCTACATGCAGTATCAGACAAGGAATAACCGCGCCACAAAACCTTCCAGATATCAGGCTTTGCATTTGAGATTTGAGATGGACATGGTAGCTCACTCATTATGTGAGTTTGGTGGAGGTGAAGAACAGAGACAAGAACTGGAAGCATTTCGACAAATCCATTTTCCAGCATTAATGGAGCTCGAAAAGACAGGAAAGTATGGATAATTTTGTATATTTCTTCGTCTCTTGTCAAACTTATGCCATGCTGTTCCTTTTGAATTTGAGAAGCATCCAAAGTAGTGTTTTATATTGAGACGACTGTTTTACTTGTTTCAGGTTACCTTCCCCTGCCATGCTCAGATCTGAAGGGTTATGTCCATTAACACCAGAAGAAGCAGTACTTATGCTTGCTGCTCTAGGTTTCAAACGTAAGACTAAAAAATATGTTGCAGGGACATCTAGATTAGCTGCTTTGACAAGTTTGTAAATTGTATCCTAATCTAGTCACCAAAGAGAATTTGCTTCACCCGTAGAACTTGAACCATTTATGAATTTCTCATCTCAGGTAATGAAGTGGCATATTCACCTCTTGTTTGACGAAAATTGTAGGTTTTGCCCATATTGCTTCGACTCTTCATTTTTCTTGAAGCACGCATGTCCAACACATGGATATGCTTCGACTATACTCGTCGATGGTATATACTTGTGTCTGGCACTTATACCTGAGTCTGAATAACATAGGGTTTGCTATTTTTGCATTTATGAGTTGTAGGCTCTTTGGCTGCTGGTCCTTCCCGAAGGAACAATTACTTTGGGATTAGCTCTTTTCATCATGCACAAGTTGCTAATGCTTGTTTGCAGGTTGTTTTCATGAATTCACTGCATTAATGATCACTGATCGGTGATGTAAGTTATGGAATAACCAAGTTAGATATTTGAAAATTACTATCTAAAACGGCAATTTGAAACCAGTAAGATTTGGATAAATGGTTTTATATGCTCTTCATGATGTCGGATTACTATCATCCTTGGCATGAGTGCAATCACATATTATGACCTTTCATCTGTACCTGACAGCACTGGACTTTATTGCCTGCACTGCAGCTGATGCATTTGCCATGACGGATTCGGGTAGCTAGTTGTCATCTCTGGTGTCTGGTTTTCGAATATACTATGGTGGAGGGTGGATGCCTACGCAATACTAGCTGTTATCTTAGTAAAGAACAATACTGTAGAGTGGAAAGTGTTTGAGCAGAAAGTGAGAAAGGCAGTTAGGAAAACTAAAGAGTATATGCGTCGTACAGATTGACTTTATAACTTTTAAAGATGATATAATTAGAACGTGTAACATTCTTTGTTGTTTAATTTTTAGCCCAAATCAAACTGTTGTGATTATTTATAGATTGGTGTTCAATGTTGGGCAAACTTGTCCTCCTTGGAACCTTGTTCGAGTAGAATGTTAAAAATGACTTAGGAAATTGTATTTTTTGGTAGATTTTGGCCGTGTAACTATCAAATTCAATTGTCATTGATATATGCGAAACTCTATCGGTTAATATGGTTAAAAAACCCACTTTGGGCCAACCCAAGTTAAGGTAGAGGATAACCATGAATGCTGCTGCTTCTCCTTCCATTAGAAGTAAATATATTGCTCTCTTAAGCAAAATATAATAACAGTCGTAGCCAGAAGAATAATTGCTGCTGCTTCTAAGATTATAAGTAAATATAATGCTGTTGGCGATAAAGGTTGAAACTCATAAGGCTGGGTGCATTTCTTGAAACATATATAATTTCAGTACAGCCTAGTGTCAAAGCAACCTTGGGTCATCCAACATTAGTTTTGCAGATAATTGAATTTGAGTGAGATGAAAATGCATAACCAAGATCGTGTGTAATGGATAGAAAGACAAGATGAAGATGTGTTAAGATGTTGTATCGTAAATATCGGTTCAACATCAGAGAAACTACAGATGAATTCTCCTGCACAGACTTAATCTCCTTAACCTACCACAGGCACAAATGTCTCCACGCCAACACATTAAGTTACAAACAGCCACAAGTTTGGATAAAACACAACTTCTACCCTATACAACTCACACAACAGCAGCCGACGAGCTAAATCTGCATAAGGAATCTCTCCCCTCATGCAACAAAAATTTATCTCTTTTGCCGTTTGGCCTCCACCTGGAAAAGAACACAAAAATGAGAAATCGGAGCACAACTTCGAAACACAAACAATTGTTTTGTAACCTAAGAATTCAGATAAAAGACTTTTCTCTTACAAGAGGCCTTGAAACACAGATAATTGTTTTGTACGCAAAGAATTCAGATAATTGAACTTTCCTCTATATAAGGTAGCATTTTTCTATCGAAACACTCACTCTAAAATTCATATCTAGCACAATATAATTGCCTAAACCTTCTCCATACTGTTCCACAATCCCAATTAGGAAAAAAAAAACGAGTACCTCTTAATTTGTTAGGTAAAAATGATTGGCTACATGTTAGTAAGTAGTAACAGCAATTATGGATTTGACCACCAAAATCACTGTTAATCTTAAAAATGTAATGACAAGGAAATACATATGCAGACAGCTGGATAAAGAAATAAATCCAATCAACAATCATGCATTTGGACGTATAAATATGATTCAACTATATTTCGCGAGATATGGTAGGTGCTCAAAGATCTGGCCTCATGGCACTTCACAGAAATAAGAACTTGCATCCAAGGGTAAAGCATGTTCCCCCACTAAATAAACTTTCTATCCATTTATCATCAATTGTAACAAAGAACCAATATTAAATTAAGGGTTTCAAGTGACTTCAGTGTATGTATGCTATACATGTCATTATTATTATTAGCAGAGGATGAGAAAGTCTCTTTGATCCCCTTAAATTCATGAACAAATTTCCTAGCAGGATACCAAAAACAGATCTGGTAAATTGTATATGAGAGGTGTAGTAAATATAAAATGGATTAAAGAAGAAAGAGAAAACTGACCAAGCATCATGTGGATTTGGCCAAAAGAGATCTTACCGTTATGTCAGATACTGGTGGTGGATGAAACCCGTTCTGTGATCTTTTGACATCCTCCTCAGCACATTCAGAACAAATAAAGTGATCCAACATTTTTGCTTCTTCAATTGTCATGCTCACACAAGCAGGATGGTACCTATAGTAATGGTAATGAAAACGTTAAATATATCTTAAAAATTACTGGGCCGTTGGCACCAGGAAATTATCAAAGGAAATATAGAACACCATACCAGTCCTTGCAGCCCTCACATTGGACCATGAGATCATCAGGGTTGTATGGCATCTCGCATTTACAGTACCTTCAAAACATTAAAAAAAAAAACAGGGGCACCAAAGATTTAATACCAAATTGCCAACAAGTAAACCAAAATCCATTTTTCATAAACCAATAGATCACGACACTCACACAGCAACTCGATCAGGTGTAAAGGCCCCAGTAGCAGCTTTATACTCAAACCTACAATAGTAATCTTCGGCCCCAACATCCTCCAGCTTAGTGTAGTTCTTGAAAGAATGAACAATGCACTTTCCTTCAATGGTATGAGCACTCTGCACATCATAGTGGTCTGACAAAAACAACTCCTTTGCACCATGGAACTGCCTCCTTCCTCCAAGCGACTCCTCAGGACGATAATACCACCGTACTCGAACCTTTACATTGTTCCTGCTATCTGCTTCCACTTTCTCAATTCGTGCCACATACGGAGGCTTACCACTGTCGGAAGGACGCATCAGAACAAAATCCCCAACTGCAAGAAATAATAATAAATTAAAATAAATCGAACTATCACAAGCAGCCATCACAAACTACAATATCTTAACATCTATATACGCCAGTAAAACACACCCATACGTATATACATTGGAGTTAAAATGATAGATGCATATTCAACCCCTTCTGCAAACAAACTCGCATATTTCAACACGAATATATATATGCATCCAATAAACCCAGCAAAAAGTAAAACCCGATTACAAAACAACCAAGCATTCACTTCTTAATCATCAAAACTAATGCTAGATGACATGTTCGAAAATTTTAAAATTGCAAAACACCAAATGCCGAGATCCAAAAATTCCCAAAAAATGATTTCCGACATCACCAAATCCGCAAATTTTTTACGGCGTACACGTATTCATAGACGTATATATCTACATGAAAAATACTGTACCTCTAACAACTTTGTTGGTGCCTCTGATGGTGTAAGAGTTGATGTCCTTCGTCCCTTGTTTGGGCCTGGTCCCAGAAATCCCTGGTCTTGTTTTTGCCATGGAAGCTAAGGTTTAGAGGAGGAAAGTTCAAATCTTTTTCTTTGAAAGAGTGAAAATAGAAAGCTTTGAAAAAATAAGGGGGGTACTGAAGAAAGACAAAACCCTAATTTTCCCTCGTGGAAGAGGAAGAGTGGAGACAACTCATACAAGAAGAAAGTAGTATGGTGGAGACAATACAGTCAAGTACTGGAGTAACAGTCATTTTAATTTAGGTTAAACTACCAGATAGTCCTGCCACTATAATACATTTTTTTAATTTGATATCATCAGAAAAAGTTCAAAAAAAAACCATCAAACGATTTTAATCTAAGTAGTGACCAATTTTTTTATCAATTAAATTATTAATTTATTTTGATGTTAATTAAATTATTAATTTTTAAATTTTCGTAAACCATAAGATCAAATATCACAGTATAAAAGTTATAATCCACATATCAATTCATATTATTTGTACATTTTATAAATTAGATATAAATTTAATCCATTCTATTGATAGAATTTAAACACAATTCTCAATCCTAATCAGAGAATTTGAGGTTTAAAAAAAACAGCCTCTTATAAAAGAAACTTTGAAAGCTTCGACAAATACTCTTTCATGTTCCAAGACAAAAATCTGAACTACAAAAATCAAAGCTGGACATGTTTGATACAAATGTATATCCAACGGACCAACCATGCATTTGAAAATATCAGTCCATAGACAACACACGAATCGTTTGAGATTTCTCTCTTTTATCTCCCAGCTGCTTCGAGCAAAATAAAGAACTTCCTATTTCGAAGAGAAAACTAAAAGACCAAGAGACACAATTCTAGTTCAACGGTTGATTGGAGTGTGCATTCGCTCGACAATCCTGTTAACAGCATCACGGGACATCACTAATGTGTCATGCTGCAAGATGCTGTACACATTCAAGCCCTGCAAAAACATACACAACAGTCTAAGCATTAAAAAAAAGTAAAACTTAATCAAGAAAAATATCTTACAATTCAACCTCGGAAACATATTAAAGCAATCAAAGATCATGACGACTGATAATGAAAAGTTAACCATATTGTGTTACCATGTATCTAATGACGAAGGCAAGCCAATCGATCGACTATATTTTGCTAATAATTGCAGACATTGTAATATTACAGTTAGAACTACACTTACAATTGAGGGCAATACATTGACGTAATGTAGATTTTGTGTAGCTAGCTTCAACTTTTCATTTATGGGGCCACCATCCACCAGCAGAAATTTCTTGGCATTCTCCATTTGGTTTACATAGTTCACTATATTTTTGGTTTTGTGTGTAGGGACCTCCAAATCCTCAAAGACAAGAAGCTGGTCAATTGTGCAATAGTCATTGGTTAGGACTCAAAACTCGATTAGCACTAAAAAGCTTTGTTCTGCATTTATTAGTAGATCAGTAAAACTGCATTGTGAAATGCAAAATAGTAGTACAAAGAATCCATACGCATGCCAGACAACAATGACTTACCTTTCCTTCAGCAGCACGTGCAGACAGTGTAATCTTCAGTCCAAGACGTCGGACCTTCTTATTCAATTTAAAAGCATGACTTCTAGGCTTGGGGCCATGCATAGTAGCACCACCTCGAAACTGTTATCAATCCATAAAATCAATTAAAATGCCATAGAAAAATAGTTGTTTAGCTCTAAAACTTCTTAAATTCAAAGAAAACAAAAAGGAGTCACCTGTGGACCACGCAGTGTTCCATGCCTAGCTCGACCAGTACCCTTCTGTCGCCAGGGCTTCCTACCAGTCCCACTAACCTCACTAATAGTTTTTGTTGAATGTGTTCCCTGTCAACCATTCAATTATCACTGATATTCATGATTAGCGTATTTTGATTGCACAAGGGAGAAGAACTGTTTAATGCAATTTATGTGGAAAATAGGAACTAGTATTAAGCTGAAAAACAATATGGTCATAGTCTTGTAGAATTTCAGATTAACATCAAGAAAATCCTAAAAGTATGTGCTTCCAGTATCCATAAAGAAGGATGAAATGGCACCTGTTGTCGTTTTGCAAGCTGCCATCGTACAACACGGTGGATAATATCCTTTCTAATAGGTACATCAAAAACATCACCAGCCAAAACCATGAAGCCACGGTCTTCATTATGAAAATTTGTCACGGGAACTACAAGGTCCTCATAAAGTCCTGCACCATAAATGGTATATTTAATCCAATAGAGCACTGCTCATTTAAACTACAAAATACCATTGGCCTATTCCTGTGATAATTGAAATGCTTAAAAGCTGAACTCAGTTTAACCAAATGCAAAATGGAAGGCAATATAAAACCCACAGTGGAGGTTCAGCTTCACATGTTGGCATATGCCAATGTCAAGATGATTTCTGGAGGCAAGTTTTAGCTCAGAAACGACTAATAAAGCGGCCTGGAAACATTAACATGCCTCCAATATCTTTATATCTTTTAGAAAGCCTAAGAAAATCCCAGTGTTTCCTATGAGTGCATATTGCCTTCAAACACTAAAACGCATCCATATTATGAATATTAAAAATTTTAAAGGCAAATAGCTAAACAAGATATGTGGTTTAATATTCTCATACCAATAGTGCGCTCTGGTGTTAGTACGGTCCTTGAAGAGAGTAAATCAGATGGAAAAGCACCTCCGTTCGAATCAGGAGTCAAAATTGTAGTTGAAAACCTTCGAAAACCAAGGAAAGATGGACCGCCCTACATAAAATAAAATGTAGCATAGACAAATAAAATACAAAGAAAGGCCATGACAGAGAAGAAAACAAAAGGAAGGTGCATGTACAAGCAAAATGGCTAGACCAAAACATAAAGAGATTAGAAGGGATGTTAAGATTGAAACAAACAATACAGAATCTTACGATGTCTATAATTGGTATTGTAGAAGTGGCACCTCTACTATTTGCAGAAACAAGAAACCTATTATAAGTACCCTTATTGAATACTTCTAAACTATAAATGAAGGATAATGACAGTAGCGAACCCATTAACCTAGATAGCCCCCCAATCCACTTTCCAAGAATTGATTCAAACCCTAATGGATAAGTATCCTTATTGAATACTTCTAAACTAAAAATTAAGGATAATGACAGTAGTGAACCCATTAACCTAGATAACCCCCCATCCTCTTTCCAAGAATTGATTCAAAACCTAATGCATCCATATATTTGTGTATAGTGTATTTAAAAGGAAAACAAAATGAAAACATACCTTGGAAAGGCTAAAAGATTCTGCAAGAGGCAAGTTATCCCCAGTAATACGACCACTCAGTTCTAATTAGACAGAATAAAAAGAAGCAAAGTACATTACAGTCACAGATAAGCAGCAAACAAACAATGTTGACATTTAGTATATTACTCTTAACAGAGGTTTGAAATGAACGAGCTGCGACAGTTGGAGATGAGCGTAAGCTCAAGGCAGACAGTGAACCAAAATAACATGCAATCTGTCTCGCGATCGACAAAGCCATACTCTGAATAACAAGGTACTAGTTCAATAGCATCAAGACAATTCACCTGCAGAACAAGACAAAGTCGCCTGCTCATCTACACTCCAAACTTAAGATTAAAGATTACAACTTTAGCGGAGAATTTTAATCATGTATCTATAAAGTATGTTAAAATCAAACATTTGCATCCAACACTGTGAGCGCAAAGTATTTGATAAAATTCCACAATAAAGAAACTGGGAATAAGAAAATAAATGCCCCCCAAAAATAGTTTCCATGAAACCGTATTGAGACAAAAACAAAAGCTACACAGTGCATATATCAATATAGCTGCTAATCAGATCATAACTACTTCAAGAGTAACAGCAATCGCCCCCCAAAAATAGTTTCCATGAAACCGTATTGAGACAAAAACAAAAGCTACACAGTGCATATATCAATATAGCTGCTAATCAGATCATAACTACTTCAAGAGTAACAGCAATCAATTCTTAATTTAATATATGAACGAACAAAGCAAACGAGAACTGAAAAGAGAAGGTACAATGAGGGTGGACGCGGCGGGAACCCGGACGCTGAGACGAGACCGGAGAACGTTGACGTTGTACCGTGGCGGTTGAGAGCGCCGGTTATTAGAGAATGGAGGCAAAAGTGTGAAGAAAGTGTGGGAGTAGAGCCAGTCGTAATGAAAATGAAAAACCTCACCTCGCTAATTCCCGGTATTATTACTGTTTGGGCCGAAAGAAATTTCAGGATAGGGCTTCAATTGAATGCCCAAACTACATGATCTGGGCTTCAAATTTGAGATCGGACCCATTGTCTGGGTTTAATTTAGACGCACACATCACGGACAAGGGACCTTGAAATTAAATAATTTTTCTAGGAGGTTAAGAACAATAAATCCTAAATGCTCAACAAGGGAAGAGTGGGGGCATATGTGGCTTCAATCAGGCTTTAACATTATTAGTTACCAAGATAAAAATAAACTTGTTGGTGAGATTCCCCACCCCGGCCTAACCTTTCCCTTCGTTATCAGAGCTTGCATGAAAATGGAGAGCTTAAGAATGGAGTGCTTATGGTGACAACTTCGAGCATGTCTATATATTATATATATATCACTCATCCTGTAACTGGCCGCATAAGAAGTGCTATAATGATGATTATTAGATTAAAATATAATTAAGAAAAATGAATGAAAGAAGGAACTAGGGCATTCAAACAATTCAATCTCATTCATCCACAAACAACCATCAAAAACCTGCTTCCAGTGTATTGTAGTGACTCATGATCGTTTTAAGTAAATAGAACTACAAAAAGAACCCTGTAGAGATAACTAGATAGACAGTTTCCATGCCAGCCCGGCCTAGAACTTCTGGATCACCACGGAATTGGCAAGACCTGCCTGCTCTACGGTATGGGTTGGATCAGTAAGAAGTTTGGGAGGGAAACCCATTATCTGCAATTGATAGTTTGTGGCGCTTCGAGGTCTAGATGCATTGATGAAGGAACAGATGTCATCAACCGTGCGGTGGAGATTGAAGCGGGTTATCATTCGAGTCCCATCAGCCAACCTAAGCTGAATTGAGGTTGATGGTAAACTTTCGTCCACAACTAATCCTGAAGAAAGGTTTGGAGCTGAGTTGAGATAGCTGGAACTGAGAGTTGGCTCTGGAGATTCTGAACTGCTGCTGCTACCAATAGTTCTTCCAACACCCTGAAATGCTACCTGGCGTTTCTTCTCTGGTTCCTGCAAGGAGAAAAAAGTTGAGTTATATCCTCGAATGCACTTCAACCTTCTGGGCAAAGGCAACGCTAACAAGAGCAAGAGACTCACAGGGAATTTCTCGTCCTTTATCAGATTGACATGAACTGAAGTCCTTCTATCAGCAGGCTCAAGCCCTTTAGGACACTCAGATTTTCTTATGCTCTGCATCGAGATGCAATCAAGTTGTGAATAAACAAGAACCAGCATTCTGAAACATAAAAATTAACACACTCGTAAAAGAACTGAAAACATATAGAATAGAACGCCTATTTGTAAGATACATAAAATGGGAAAGAAAATAATGTGCAAGGGTAAACTCAATAACATCTGTCACTATCTATCATTTTTTTAACTCCATTACTTAAAATGTGGTGTTCAATCCAACTCGTCATTACCTCTAAAAATGGTGCATTTTCGGGATCATCCAACCTTCTCAGAGGGCCAGCATCTACAGAGAAACCATTGGTCCAGAAAACTATGTTGTGAATAACAGAATCAGGATGCTGAGGTGCAGAAGGAACGGTTTCCCCTGAGAGTAATCTACCAGTTCCAGTAAAACTTGTTGAACTTGATGATGGATGAGGATGCTCTGGAGGACCTTCTATGGCTCCCAGTTGCTTGATTGAAAATTTCATCTACATCATTATTCTTGGAAGGATCTTGAACAAGCATGCCACCGCAAAAAAACAGAGTTGTAGCTCTTCCTTTAGCATGTCATTATAATACAATGAACTGCAGGGTCAATAATGATATAGAATGCTGAAAATGAATAAATAAATAAAAAATGGCTTCATCAAAGATATAGAATGATGATTGTGTGTTTATAAATCAACCTGCTCAGGGATGTGCAGGTTAAAACCTAACAGCTCGTACCTAAACAGGAACTAATCCAAATATCCAACACTATACAGTAATACATTCCAATTCTATGAAATGAGAAAATAATTATACAGCATCTAATGTAAAGCAAACAACATAAACTTTTGAATGAAGACAGATCAATATTGTCTAAAAAAATCTTCTTTTTTTTGTTTTCTCGGATGAAGTATGCAGGCACTGAATCAAGAATGGTTAAAATTTGTTTGCACTGAGTTTTTATGGCAGGAGAAGGCAAAAAAATACCCAGAAAATAGTATGTGTCTGTGACTAGACAAGATACTGGATTGCATGTTTTTATTCGAATAAAACAATAATTATGCTGAATGCATATCCCAGAAATGATTCAACTTGCACTCCATGCACATAAGATCAAAAGTGGCGTCATCAAAGAAAGCGAGACGATATTTTCCAGTTATTGAGATCCCTTGAAATTCAATAAGATTATTTATCCCACCTGATGCTAAAGTAAATCCGTCAAACTTAAATGATAAATTCAACTTGACCTGCTCTAGCAAACTCAATTTCAAACCGAGAAAGCTTACCAAGCACTAAATCTAATTTCAATGTGAAAAGCAGTGGTAATAGTTTTGAACCATTACCTTTCCAATCCTGGAGTACCAAGCGAAAATTTTATATACTCTAGCAAACTCCCCGGTAAGTTCTCACTCAAGTTCTAATCCACTATTAAGTTTTTTTCTTCTTTTTCATTTTGTAAAATTCAAATTCATCCTCAAACGCCATAGAAAATCAACTAAGATTGAAACATTAGCAACTCGTCAATAAATGACATCCTTCCTTAACCTTTAAATTTCCTCAACAATCAAGCAAACGTTTGGATGATTTATGATAAAAAATAATCAATTAAATTAAAGAAAATTTTTTAAAAAGAAAAAGAAAAGAAGAATACTTTTTCTCGCCACCGGCGTAAAACTCCAGGGGGTTATCGGAATCGTGTACAGAGGGGCGGTTCAGATCCGAGAGCGTGCGTATACCACCGGCACGTCTGCTCGATGGCTTCGCATGTTTCTTGTCACCGGAGGCCATTGATTTCGCCTGATTGAGAAGAAAGTTTGTAGGGAGCTCGAGAAGAGGAAATTCTGTTTCTCTGTAGCTCCCCTTAGGCTAAAGCTTGGCTTGGCTAGACTTCTGAGAGCGAACGTAAGTATGCATTATGATTTAATATTTGTTTGGGATTGTTTGGTCGGGGAAATGTGGAAATCCATATATTTTTTTGTTTTTGTTTGGTTAGTTCAGGAATGTAAGTGTAACTCCTTAAATTCGACCTATACGATTTGATTAAGTCTAGCATATTATATTAAAGATTTTGAGAGACATTTTTTTAAAAATATTATTCGATAATTTAAATTCATGTTACAAATGATTTTTATATAAAATTATATTATAATTAACGATAAAAATTAAATTCGTAAATATAAAACATGAAAGATACCAGGTAAAATATTACATAAAATAAATATGGAGTATTAAAAATCAAATATCAGTAACACCAACAGAAAACGTCATAAAACGATAAATACTTAAGAAATAAGGTACATGTCGCCATAATTAAAAACAGTTCGGGAAACAGAACATTACAATAAAACACTCTGAGCTAAATGTATCAATCCTCCAAGTGCCTGATACAGAGTGCCTATCAGAATGTATCTGAAAGGGGTAAAACAATTTGAAAAGTGAGCTAGAGGCTCAGTGTGTCCCAACAGTGCATAAATAAAAATATATAGTTATGATTTTCAAAATCAGTGCAGATCACAATCATTGAAACATCATAGGAGTTTTTAATTTAGAAACATCATAGGAGTTTTTAATTTAAAAACTCCGCATCGTCCTCTAACCGAACGCCATGTGCAGATCCCCAGAAATGCACAACTTAAGGGAGTACCTTGGGGCCTGCGAGCCTACCCAAGATAATTCTCGGGTCCACAAAGGCTTACCCAAGAAAATCTCAGGGCCGCATAGCCTACCCAAGGCTCGACTTAGGTCCATAAGGAATTACCAATCGGTGCTGAACCTAGTAGAGGAATTACCAACAGCGACTGAACCTGCCAGAGTCTTCATACCAGAACCCATAGTACCCCCGTAGAAAACATTTTTCAGACGGTAACCAGTAGTAACAGTAATTTAGAGTTCAGACAGATCATCAGTTCAGTAAATCAGTATCCAGAAATCATAAGTCGGGCAATCATACTTTACATTTCAGTAAATCTAGAATCAGATAAATCATTCAGTAGACAAATCAGATCAAATATTGTATTTCAAATCAGAGAAAACAATCATGTGCACATGAGATTTCAAACAAATATTTAAAACATTTATTATGCACATAAGGAACACACCTCAATAACATGATCAGTCCAAAAAAATCTATCGAGTA